TTTCCATGGGTATCATTGCAGAAAAAAGAAATAAAAATAATTCCCAGTAAATCAGATGCTAATAGTTAAGTAGACTAAACAAAAAAGAAGTATGCCAAGGACTTGCAGAGAGCTAACATCTCTCCTGTATCATCTGGCTGAGAAAAGCTTGATTTTCTCCCAGTAAGTGCAGAATTGCCATCCCACAGCATCTGGGAGTTTTGCCAAGCAATCTATCTTCACCCCTACAGGGCTTAGATTGAGCCCCTGCGGCCCACCATCAGATAGTTACCAATGTGATAACGGATGTTCGTTAATCACGTCTGTCTCATCCCAACGCCATACTTGAATCAATGCATCAGACTTTCCTTCCACCACCAGATACATCTGCAACTGAGTGTCCTTTCGGCTTTGACCAAGTTGTTTCATTCTTTCTGGCACTACCAGTTCTAGCACTCTGCTCTTCCCCAGGAGCATATTGGACAGCTTCTGACCTGAGGGACTCATCTTCAAGCATCATGTCTTTTTCCCTTTTGGTACTGTCTGTGTTGTTTTCATGGCAAAGATAGTGGAGTGGGTTGCCATTTCCTTCTCCAGTGGATCACATTTTTCAAAGCTCTCTGCTATGACTTGTCCATGTTGGGTGGCCCTGCACAGCATAGCTCATAACTTCATTGAGCTACACAAGCCCCTTCGTCAAAACAAGGCAGTGATCCATGAAGGAGACCCCTTTCAATAAAGGTGCTTTAAATACAGGGGGGAACTACTTCATTGATGTTTTTGGTATAATGGGATACTCAGGATGTACAGCTTTTTGCATAGCAAATTGGAGAAGAAATACCAAAAGGAGGTTAAGTATGCAAATAGCCCCATGCTTTTATTTCCTCTGCTGGAGGCACAAAAAGTCCATGCTTGTGTTAGCAATGAAAAGTTAAGGATGAGGAGGGCAGTGAGGAGCTCCTCATTGTGAAATAGTAATTTGGGATTACAACCTGACTGGATTCCTGTACCGGATCATACAGTCAAAAGAGATTCTGAAAGTTGAAGCAAACAGGCTGAACTGCACCCCTATGTTAAATGCTCCTATGCTGCTGTGCAGGAATGCATAATCACGGTAGGTCTGTGAGGCCACAATATGCAAGGGGACCAGAAATGTGTCTGCAAACACACAAATCCTGGCTGTTTTTTTCCCCAGTCTCTCATTACTGGACCTATAAACTTATAAACTGGATCAGATCCATACCTCCAAAGTCAGTTATTTGTGCTTTTCTGAACTGCAGCAATTGCATTCCTTCTCCTCATGTGAAATTTGGCCATGGGATGCACAGATAGCAGTGAAACATCTCCATGTCCTTCACATTCCTGCTAGAACTGGAATGACCTCTCTTCTGTTGCTCCCTGTTCTTTCTTCCGACATCCTTGCATGGCCTGTCACCTCTCTTGCCCACTCGACCCTGCCTTCCAGCCTTTTCTCGTTATGCATTTCATCCTCCCACTGTCTGCCATTTTGCTCCAATAGATTTCTTCATTTCATTTCTGTTGTTCCACCCCTACTCCTTGCTTGCTGTCCTTATTTTGCCATACCCTGAGAAGACTTCCTCACAGGGCTTCTCATAGGCCAGCCCCAATCACCTGCCCTGACCTCCAAATGGGAGTCTTCCGGGCTGTCTGCATTATGCTGTGGTGGCTCAAAGGAGGGATGTGAATTTTCTGGACCTCGCTCTGGGAAGTCTTTCCCTGGAACAAATCTGTGATGCATATCACCTTGTCCAGTGCAGCCCTCTCTCATTGTGTAGCACTTCGCTGCTTTTTAGGAAAGGCAAATAAAAGACTTTGAATGTATCTCTTCATTCTGAAGTCCTGTAAATGCCTTTTGCAGTCTGATGAAGCAAGGGTTCTTGCGTCTGTCAAGCCTATGATTGATGTTTGCCTATCTTGGTTGGTCGTAAAGTCAAAGAGGGATTTGGGGTTGGGTCCAGGAGGTTGTTAGTTCCTGTCTTAGAGAAGGAGTGGTGTCTTCCACTTTAAAAAATGCTATTATTGCATCACTCCTGAAAAACCTGCATCAAAACCTGAGTCACATGCATGTCTATGTCTTTGCTGTGAAAATTCATTGTCCTAGCTGAAAGGGAAGGTCATGGTACAGCAGGGCATTTTGTACAAATGGTTTTTTTTTCTGTGAACAGTTATAACTTTAGTCATTTTCTAAATGAAAAATTCAACTAGCAAGAAGTTGGTGAGTTTTGCAGGAAAGCAGGTGCAGACAGGGGAATTTTCACCTATATTCCACACAGATGTCAGTCCCTAGGTCCCACATCATCCCTAAGAGAAGACACTTATAATTCTTCAGTCTTTCCTTCTGATAAGCTGTTCCCTGCTGTTGAGCTCAGGTCTTATTAAAATAACGTAACATTTAGGGGAAAAGATGCAACCAAGCAATCCAGCACTGGAGGCCAAGATAGAGAATATCTCCACAGCTACCATGTGTTTTCCTTTGGTGCTCAGGTAGGTTGGAACAAAGGATAACCAAACACTGCAAAAGACCAGCATGCTGAAGGTGATGAACTTGGCTTCATTGAAGCTGTCCGGGAGCTTCCTGGCAAAGAAAGCCACCATGAAGCTGGCAGTTGCCAGGAAGCCCAGGTAGCCCAGCACACAGTAGAACATAGTCACAGAGCCCTCGTTACATTCCTGGACTATTTCCTCAGGTACTGTATGAACATCGACATCTGGGTAGGAAGGATACATGGCCAGCCACACAGTACAGATGCCTGTTTGAAGAAGGGAGCAGGAAAAAACGATGGAGCTGGCCAGCCTTTTCCCCATCCACTTCCGCATTCTGGACCCTGGCTTGGTGGCCATGAAAGCCAGAACCACTGTCATGGTTTTTGCCAGTACACAAGAGACAGCCACTGAGAAGATGATGCCAAAAGTGGTCTGCCGGAGGAGACATGTCACCTTCTTTGGTTGGCCAATGAATAGGAACACACAAAGGAAGCAGAGCAGGAGGGAGATGAGGAGAGTGTAGGTGAGGCTCCGGTTGTTAGCAATGACTATGGGAGTGTCGTGGTGCTTCACAAATAACCCTAAGACCAGAGCTGTGGTCAAAGAAGAGAAAAGACCAAAGAAGGCTAAACTGAGACCCAAAGGTTCTTTGTAAAACAAGAAGGTTATTGTTTTGGGAATGCAGTAGTCCTGGTCCTTGTTTGGATAGCTTTTGTCTTCACATTTCTGACAGTCATCCATGTCTGAAATAGGAAATATGTGGTCCTGATCTCACAAAGGAACCGTGTATCTTTATTACATGTGGTAATTGTCTGATCACATTAAGCAAATTAAATCTTATCAAAAACTTAAATTGCACTGATAATGTTAAACTTTGCAGTCATGGTTGTGCAGTGCATAGCTTTTTAGGTCTAAACATATATTGGGTTTTAAAAATAGAGCAATCATAATGCCTCACATAATACAGCTCCACAATTATTAAGTAATGGTCTCTTTCTTCTGAATTGACTGCAGCATTCAAACAGTGTTGAAACCTAGACCCAAATAAATTATATAGAAATACTATCATTGACCAAAATTGCTAGATCTCTGAACAAGGACTCTGGACATGTTAAATTCTGTTTTATATTATCTCTTCCATTACACTGGCGCTCGAGTCAAAAGAAGGGATGGAAGAGGCAGTGAAGTTTGATTTTGTTGAGGTTTTCTGGGTCCCACCTCCAAGTTCAGTTGGCCTGCTCCTGTTTCCAATTGCATTCTATTTTTCTTTTCATGTGAATGGGAAAAATCACTCAGAAATGTGCCACAGTGCCCCATACACTGGACATGCAATCCCATGCACAGTGAAACAGAATAAAGGCCTACTGCTTCCAGTATGTTGTCCAGGGCATGCTGGTAGTTGTAGGCCTTTTCTTACATAGAACTGCACTGTCAAACTGCAAAATGTGCTTATTTCCATTTTTGAAGAAGCACCATTTCCCCATTTCATTCCCAAGTATGAACATTTTTCAAATTACAAATATAGCCTATGTTGTATTTTGTATTAAACACACTTTAAATGTTCATATGCATGCTGTACACATTCCATTAATAATTGTATCCTGCATGCAACTGTGACTTATACACACATTTCTTTCTGCAAGCACATTTATTGTTTCAGGAATTTTGGACATTATTTCCTATGTAACTCTTGTATGCACTCCTGTGTAATATATGCATGCTTGTCTGTGTTTTACCGAAGAACTCCACTGCAACATTGTGAGAAGAGAGAATTTTGACAGTAGGCTGAGTTTCAGTTCATGTACTGTTCCAAAAGTGTGAAATTAGGCAAGTTAACTTTAACATGTGATGTGAACATATTTCTGCCTTGCTTTTTTGCTGAGAATAAGATTGTTATAGCATCGCCATGGTGATGTTATAAGTGCTTCTTCCATTGATTAAATAAAAGTGAATTGCTTTAACGGAACGTAGAATGAGGCAAAATAACCAGCCAGAAGTTCTGATCACTGGCCAGACAAGTTCCACCACTCTATGCCTCCACATGTCATGCTTTTACACATGACATGAACTAAAATCTTGGAACCTGCTATAAAGAAGCCATTTATTTCTGTTTCTACCTCAACTTTTGCGCAGACCATCTAACATTACACCTCTGCTTAACTGGAAATTTTCAGAAAAGTTGCTCTTGCTGATTCTCAGCAGAAAAATTCTTGATTTCTTGTTTTCTTGTTTTATGGAAGAACATGAATCAACCAACTCACCTTCATGCTCTGCAATCTTCCCTTCTGGGCATGGAATGCAATTGTAACAACAGAATGGCTCTCCTTCCTTTACTTGCTTGCTTGTACCAGGATGGCAACTCACTGTACACACAGAAAGAGGCTGGACCTAATTCAAGAATGAATGGGGAGAACAACCACAATGAGCTTGAAATCCTTACATTTCTGTGTTCTTCTTGTATTTTACTAAAACAACCATCACATTTCCTGTCCTGTGTCAATTGTCTGAACACGAGTATTGGATATGCCACAGGCTATTACCTCTTCTTAAAATTCAAACAATGAATATGGTACAGCATTATTTCTCTTTTAAAAGTACAATAATTCATGAGGATGGGTGAGTTTTTTATAAATGTAAACTCAAGTTTACTTCCTACATGGACTTCTTAAAAATACTTTAAATTTCATCCATTCACCCTTCCTGAAACATTTCACAAAAGTGCTGAATAGAACACATGCACATGGACACTGGCTTTTAAATGCAGATCTATGAATACATCTTTTGGACAAAAAGTTGACTTTGGCCTATGCATTCTTATAGTGTGTTGGGAGGAATCCAGGATTGGAGTTGGCATTTCTGGGTTCCTATTGGCAGGACAGAAAGGATGGAGGAAAGGAATTCCTCATTTCTTTCTTCCTGCCCACCCCCATCATACCCCCTGCTTTAATTTTCCATTGTGGAATTATTCGATTATGTCTCAGGTTAGTTTGGTCTAAATTTCATCCCAGGTTGTGCTCAGGGCAGAGGGCTTTGGGAACTGTATTTGCAGCACTTCCCTCTGAGACTGATCTCTAAGGGAGAGTTCTGTGGGATTTCTAGTGGGCAGGAACTTGGATAATCAGGCTCCACCAGCATTCATCTTTGTCTGACCATGTCTCAGTCTGCCCACATTTTGCTCTGGGGCAAAAGACTTAGTGGCTGAAATCTGATCTGAAACTTCTGTAAGCTGGAAGGAGTGCAGGGGTGACCTTAGCCCCTGTGCCCCTTCCACCCTTCATTGGAGGCTAGCAGTCCTCCAAATTCAGAAGCTTCTGGGTATCCACATAGGATGGTGTCATTAATATATTAATTCTAATTGTGTTTCACTCAAGTTTCTAATTCTTTTGAAGATTGCAAGCCAAGTTTAAGGCCATTTTATTGGTAGAAAGATAGGGTAGGAAGAACATGAGTGAATGAACCTCACCTGGTTAAACCAGAGGTGCCATGTTATAGCCTCATCATGGATCAGTAATGCCTGCTCTGGATCCTGTGGATCTACCCTTCCAACTTTCACACGGTGGAAAGTTTGATTGGAGGAAAGAACCCAATTGAGCACATCAAATCCAGTTATAAGACACCCACTCTGGTCAAAGGAAACCTTGTCTCCAGCGCTGTTATTAAAAGAGATACTTCTCAGAAAGTGATGGAGCTAGATTAAAGGGAACAAGCAAGAATTTGGGAAAAGCTACATCTGGCTATTCCAAGCTGGGGTATAATGGCACTCAGTTCAAACATTTCAGTGCAGAAAAGATAGGTAGAAGAAGAAGATTTGGCTTTTTTGGACTACTAGGAGGAGCTACATTTAATGTGCCTGAAGAGGTTGGGATTTTGTGAATCTTGTTATGGGACCCTACGTAATAGAAGGGTTGAAGCATGTATCTCCCATGAAATTAGACAGAAACAGTACTCTTGGTTTTTCATGGAGGAAAAGAGTGCCAGCACAAAGCTCCTTACCCCATCCTGGTATGATGAAGCCCAATGCCATCTAGTGAATCAAATCTTCATGAACATTATTAATGTACATGTATAGTCTAACTCACCTAAAGCCATAATATTTCAGCACTGCATAACAAGACAATGCTAAGTGCAAAGACTTGGGAAATTTGAGGAAATTATGTGCATGTGGAGAGTTTGAGAAGCAATTTACTACATAGCTTGTGGCTTTCTTATCTCCCAAAGATAGTTGCTTTCCAACATAGTGATGTTGAGCACATTACCTGCCAGGAATCTGGATTCTGAAGTTCTCTTCTACGTGTTCTTTCTCTCTGTTTGAGATTAGATGAGGACATGGCATGCAGAGCATGGGCCACAGCATAGACAGCGTTGTAAACACTGTAGCTGTGCCCGGTCATGCTCATTTCAAAGAAGGACCCTGGAAGGCTCTCCAGCTTCTCATCACCTGTACAAGGAGTCTCCTCCTCTGTTCCTGTAACCTGATCTGTGAATTTACAACCAAAGGCTTGTTGCCAAAAATCCCTGATAAATCCATCTGCTTCTGTACCAGAAGGGTTCCTGCCTTGGAGAAATGCCTTGAATCTGGGTAGATCACCAGAGTGAATTGTCAACGACAGAGCACCATCAAATATGCTTGCATCCCAATTCCGTTGATAGACCAATGATGTGAACTCCATCTGGGCTGCCATTATCCATACTATACCTCTTGGTTCAGCTGACACATTTTTCATACTTGAAAGATATGGTAACCATCTCAAAAGGACCAGGGAGTAAGAATCTCCATAAACCACCAATGCGTTGGCTTTGCTGCTCATGATTTGATTATACATGTTTTCTCCTTGTTGCAACATAGCAGAGAAATCAGTGATAAATTTGAATGTGGGAAGTTTTTCTATGAAGGCAAAGCAGACATGATTCTGGGAAAACTGTGGAACCAGAGTTTGTACAATTTTTTCTCCATTCTCATCATCCATAATGAGCATCCCAATCCAAGTCCACCGAAAATGCAGGAATAGTGAAAGAATCCCCCTATACTGAAGGGCTTCCTGAGGGACCATCTGGTAGAAAGGAAGACCTGGGGTTTTATCATTTATTATATGAGCAGCGCCATATACGAGCTTGAGAGAGCAAGAAAGAGAGAGAAAGAACATGAAGAACAGCAAAATATTGCAGCTATTCATAAAATGTGTGTTAGCAATCGTTGAAAGTCACCTTCAAATTAGGATGGTAGGATGCTTCTGATAAGAGAATAGCTGTTGTCCATCCTCAGCCTACATTGCTTGGCAGGTTCAATAAAAGTTCATTAACATCAGTTAACATTCATGTATATTCTTAGGGTTCAGGAGGCTGAATCCAAACGGATTATTCCCAGATAGCGTCCTTTTTGCATGTCAGGATGTGGTAATCTTTTACATTCTTAGTGTAAGATGTAATAATTCTTGATGACCTAAGGTCAAACTCTTCCTGTATGTTGTAGCTTTGCACATAGTACTGGTGGATTGCCTTATTGCTCAAAAGAGGCCAGGTTGACCTATCCACCTGATAATGACATTTGGGTGTCCATGAACAGGGAACTTTTATAAACAAATGAACAAATAAATAGATAAGTGTCATATCATGAAGCCATCCTTCTCACCCAGAGATGAGAGATGCTTTACTACTGTGGTGAGTTTGTGGCTGTTCCCACATTGAAAATCAGTGTCCCCATCTTGCTGCAAAAGATGTTCTGAGGTTGGCATGGATCTGCCTCTTTGAGGTAGCTCTCTTGACCCCCTGTGACAATCAGTCCCTCTTTCTCTTGCATTCAGGATGTGACAGCTGTTTTCTTATGTACCTAAAAGAGCAATGCTTGCATACAGGAGGGATGCATCAGTGGGCATAGTGGGACCTATACCTGGAGAAATCCCCTAAAGGATCCAGTGTAAAATGAGCCTACTGAGTGGCAATTGTTTGCTGACTGGATTGTTTGGGTGTAATGGAAGAATGTGGAGAGCTAGACTAAGGGGAAGGGGATAGAGTATACCCCACCTAGCCGCACTGTGTAGCACATGCAGCTTATACTACCACTACTTGTCACAAGAGGAAAAATAAGAATGCAGAGGTACTACCCTAGTCTAGACTTGTTGTTTGTGTGTGTGATTGTGCAGAAACACACACATGCATATATGTAGAGGGAGGGAAGAAGAGGTAATTGCAAATACACAATGGCACAACAGCAAAGCATCAAAGATGATCTAGTTCAACAGCTGTATACATATTCATTAATGAATGAAATATCCAAAATATACAGACAGTATGGCCCCTCTAACTATTTTCATTAGAAATATTTCTTGTTTTGAATCACCCAGTAAGAAATTGGAAAGGGTGAACGAAGCCTCAGTCATGTCACCATCTTCCATTTTGCCCAAGACTGACTAGTCTCCTACCTGTGGAGTCTTATAAATATCCAAGAGTGCTGCCACATGGAGGGAGATTTGGGAGTCGAGTCCCCCGATGACTGCTACAGGGTTGCTCTGCATGTCACACACATAGTTCGGGACCAATCTCTCCTGTGCAGATAAAAGTAGCATTGTGGCATGATGGGTCCTATCTGCATTGTTATAGCTGTCATAAATGTTGAAACCCAGAGTGAGATTGGGTAGTATCTGAGTGTTCTCATTTATCTCCTTTATGCCAAACACCAATGCCAGGATATGCTGGTAGTTCTTAGGCACTACACTGAAAAGAAAGATACATTCTGCATCAAAAGAGTATCTCCAAAAATGATGCTATTGCCACCCTGTCCTGTGTCTTCTTCATCTTCTCACTGTCTTTCATGATTGTCTCTTTTGTCTAAAGTCATCTTAACAAAAGTATCAAGAACAAACAATAAGTCTGGTTGTGTTCAGAACACAACACTCCCTATGCTTCATAATTTTAGTAGAAATGATGTCTAAGAGTTCTGAAGAGAAGCTCTGGTCCTCATTAGTTTATTTAAGATTGATATCAATACCATTAAGTCCTTACACAAGATCGTCCAACAGTGCCGGTGGGGGATCTTCTGTGTAGCGCAGTTCAGAATTGTATATGATGGCAGCATGACTTACAATACTACCAATCATGTGGTCTGCTGGCTGATGATATGAGTGAAGTGGTGAGTGAGGGTGCCAGACCCTGCATTTCACAATGCCAGCCTTGCAAACCAGATGAGGAAACACCACTAGAAAGACTACTAAAATTATCATTCTCAGTGCTACCACAGATGGTCCTTATGGGCATTGATCTCTCTCTTTCCACCTCCTACAGCACTATAATTAGTCTATGCATGCTTAAAATTGCCTTATTTGAAAACCGTCATTTTTTATGTGATCTGAACCCTGGAGTATCCAAGACCAGAATGGCAAATCCTCACCAGTTGCTTGCCCTTCACCCCAGGAAGAATACTGGGTCTTTATTTCACCATCTACTACCCTCTTCCAAATTACATTTGCAAGTGGTCACTGAAATCCTATAGGGGTTTTAAAGCAATGCAACTTTGATACAAAAACAGTCACAGGAAGGTAATTATTACGTTGGAAATTCCTTGCTATTATTTTTTCCTCGTGGTAACTGAAATGTCACTGAGGCTTGGTTGAGTAGGTAGAGTAAGTACTGTCCTTTTAATGATCAAACAAGAAATTAAGTATTAAGTCAAAGATGAGATTCCCTGAGGAATTATCTAAGAAAACAGCCTTGTCACATATCCTGAAGTCATTTCCCTCCCACCTTTTTTTGTTTGCACATGCTATTGCACGTGTGTGTGTGTGTGTGTGTGTGTGCACACATAGAAATCTCTTGGAACTGTAGCACTAGTAGAGAGATTTGCTGTTTTCTCTCTGCTATTTCTTCATTTTTAAACCCAGGGGGAGAAACTGAAATCAAGCAATGCATCAGTCCTAAATGCAGACACACACACTGCCTGATGGCCACACTTCTTTGAGTGGTTTAGGGAAATAAGGCATCTTTACATTTTCCTACATGGGCAAACATGAGCCTCAGAAGTGCACATAGTATTATGTAGGAAACTGGTATTGGAAGTTGGGAAGCAGTTCAATGCCCTTTCCTTGTTGCAATGGTCCTACTTCAAGTCCTCCTCCACTGTAGTTGCTTATGTTTTTAAGAATTCATGGGTGGACCCACATAGCTCTCCTACATTGAGTCTAACCCTATTTCTGCACCACACTGTCTGTGTGTGGATATCCTTAGACTCATACCATAGAACAGCAGAGTTGGAGGGGGCCAAGAAGCCCATCAAACCCCTGCTAAGTGCAGGATTCCCAGTTAAACCATCCCTCTCAAATGGCTGTCTAGATGCATCTTCAGTGTGGGAGATCACAGACCTTCCTATGTCACTGGATCCATTGTCATACTGCTCTGACCATCAGGAAGCTTGTCCTGTGTGTGCATTCATGTTGGGAAAAAAGAGAGATCCATTTGGTATTAGTCACAATACTGAATAATGCGTTTGTTTTATAATGAGTTTGTTCTATAAATCACGTAGAATCCCCATAAAGAAATGAAAGAAACAGAAATAACTAAATAATATACAAGTACTTGTGTGTGCCATATAAAAGAACGTATGCAGAGACTAGTCATTGGTCCTCTATGGCACCCTCAACTTACAAGGAAGCACTTGTGCAATCACTAGAAAGAAATGAACTGATGTGCACTTTGACAGCAATGTGAATGTAAAAAGGCAAATGCTAGGGTTGGGGTGTCTGCTTCAGGGATGCACAAATCCTGCACTTTCACTTTCTCTTCATTTTGCATTTTTTCCCTTAGGATTTGGATCGTCTTGAACTGGGGAATTAGCCACCCAGAGAGTCTAAAACAGATAGGTTGATATATTGCAAGCAATTTTCCTAACATCAAACACACCAGTGGTTTTTTTTTTTTTTTTATTACAAGAATGCTTTAGATCGGGGAGCCTGGCTATCAAATTCATAAAAGGTAAATTTGGTTCACAATGTTGTGAGCCACCCAGAGAGCTTCAACTGCTTGGTGTCAGAGAAAAATGATAAATAATAAATGAACAGGAAACTAATTTTGGTTTTTCTAGTGCTTCAAACCTGCAAAATTAGGTAGGTTCACATTGAAATATTAACCAAATAAATCTCTAACCCTGTCTGTTTTGGAGAAGGAAAGACTCAGTGTAAACAGTACCAATACATTTATTTTCCCAGGCTTTCTTCATGATGTCCTTAGCTTTGTCTCTGCTCTTAAGTTTCTTCCTGTTGATGGAGGACAGTAATGAGTTCACATTATACTCTCACAGCACATTCTCCAGGACTTGATAGTTTGGAGAAAAAAACTTTTATTGGTTTCATTTGGAGCCAGAGAATCAGGCAATAACAAATACAGGGTTAGAAGGATGACTTGAGTTTCTTTGTCAGCATTAACTGAAAATGAAGCACAAATTCAGTGGGAATCTTAAAAAAACAAAAGCAAAAAAACCTTAAGAACTTCATAAAGAGCAAGGTTCTTTCTTTCTTTCTTTCTTTCTTTCTTTCTTTCTTTCTTTCTTTCTTTCTTTTATTTGGGTAATTTTTTACCCTGCCCAATACCCACCCAGTGGGTCTCAGAATGGCTTGCAGTTCAAATCCCATAAATACATATATATCCAAATAATACAATACAGGGAGTCATAGAGTCACAAAGATATACAGAGTCATAAAGGCAACGGATTACTTCCACTTCTGGGATCCCCCCACCCCCCTCAGTCTCACAAAACCAACTGATCCTATGCAGACTCTAAAGAACTGCCATCCCCTCATATACACTTTTTAAACTTCCAGGGAAGAGAAGTCAGTTGTAGGGGTGGAGTTCCAATACATCCCCTGTGTGGCACCTCTGACTTTGTTCTCATTTTCTGTGAGTCCAAGTTCCTGCTGAGCTTATCTAGTTTTTGTGCAGCACTCACCAGGAACTGAGATGTTCACAACTGCTAGGGGCATCCTTCTTCCATGCCACATACAGTAGCTATTTGTGCTGCTGCTCCTGACATGAGAACTGCACAGCAGAATGGAGCCTTGTGCAACCACTAGCTGTGTCCCTCTTCTGGGCGATGTGCAGTAGCTCCTTGTGTTGCCAGTTGATCAACCTTCATTCTGTTGACTTCATTCTGTTGTGTTGACTTCCTCTTGGCTTGTTTGTAGGACTGGGCTGAGCATGAGAGGAAGTCCACAGATGCCAGATGGGCAGCTGGAGTTCATCCGCAAAATATTCTTATCTTTTCATCCTCTTTATCTTGATGGAATGCGTTTGTTCCTCCCATAGTCTCCATCCATTAATGAGTAGAGAGGTGCTGCAAATCCATTAATGAGTAGAGAGGTGCTGCAAATCTGTGGAGAAAACCCACTAGATTCTCTGGCCACCAGGAATGATGGCTGGGGAAGTTTGCTAGTTGTGGATTCTGGAGGGACCTATTGAGAAAGAGTTTGTCCCAAGCCCATTCATAGGAAATTACAAGTGATAAGGTACAGGATTCAGTTTCTGAAAAAAAATCCAAAATCATTTGCAGTCATACATCATTTCTTTTGGCAAAAACTTGGCATCTTTTTGGCAATGTACACCAAAAAAAGAGAACATCCATCTTCTCCCTAAAAAAAAGCTTACATAATCTCTGCTTCCATGACTCCATTATTTAGCACAAGGCTAATTGGAAGAATTTGGGCCAGTGGCAGACTCTCAACCCAAACAACTTCACTGGGTTGTTTTTATCGGGATAAGACTGATAGGAGGAGGAGAATGATGCAAGCTGTTTTGAGTTCTTTAAAAAGAAAATGGTGTGATATATTGCAGAGTATACTTGCAGGTGAGTCAGATCCTGATTCTGACAATAAGTAATAAAATAAGATGTTCTAAGTATCACATATACCAGTTGAAATACTTCATCAGACATCCATAATGGGAAAATGAACCTCTCTGAATGAACTGATTGAGCAGCCAGGGTAGCATTGATTGCTTTTTGCCAGTGGTCCATATATGTGTGTGCATCACTGAAGAAATATGATTTTATGTCTGCTGGTCAGCATAAGAAGCTACAGAAACATTGAATATCATTGGAAATGCAAATATGCTGATGGACTTCATGAAGAGCAGCTAAAAGTGGATCTGGGATTTGTCAAAATTATTATGATTTTTCATGAGCATTAGGGGTATGGCAAAATTTGACTCTTACAAAAATAGAACTCTCTATACTATAAATGATAGTGAAAGAGAGGTGTGCATTCTTCAATATTTTCTTTTAATAAGCTGTTCTACATTTTTCTGCTCAAATCTCATAGAATAATGTAGCATTTGGTGAAAAGAGGCAGCACAGAAATCTTACACTAGATGCTAAGATGGAGAAGATCTGCACAGCCACCATGTATTTCCCCTTGTTGCTGAGGTAAGAAGGAACAAATGACCAGCATGCTGAAATTGATGAACTTGGCTTTGTTGAAACTGCCATGCAGCTTCCTGGACAAGAAGACCACACTGAAACTGTTGGTCATGAGAAGGCCTATGTATCCCAAGGCACAGGAAAACATAGTCACTGAGCCCTTGTTATATTCCAGTATGATTTATTCAGCCATTTTTTTATTTATTTAAAACTTTTATATGCCGTCCCCTCATTCCACGGCATCTCAGGGTGGCTTACAACTTAGAATGGAGAACATGTCAACATCTGGGAAAGGGGGTGAGTTTCCCAACTTCGCCACCTTGGGGGTGCCTCTTTGGCAAGCCAGAGTGAAAAGGGGAACCAGTGTTGACTCTCCCTCACCACTGCTGCCTGCTGATTCTCACCCTCACCCAGGCTGCCACGCTGAACTCAGTGCTCTTCTCTCAGCAATGATGAGCTCATCTTTAGGTTGAAATTTTTTTTTTTTTTTTTTAGGTTGAAATTTTTTATTTAAATAAAAACATACTACAAAGGTACAAAAAGGCCCAAAAATTGCAACATTACAAAAATAGAAAGTACCCCATCCGTTATTTACATCTGTTCAAACTGCCAAATGTACACAGATTTACAAGATTCCCAGGCTTTACGCATCAAATGTACAAAAAGAACTTTGTATTGGCTTTTCCTGATAGCTTCATGCCATGTGTCTGAGCAACATGTATGAGTGATTTACGGACATTATGTTATTGGGGCATGCGCCCCACTCAACCACGGCCATAATTTCCTCCACCTACTGGGCGGCATCCTCCCTTTTTCCTCGCGGCTCAACCAAAAAATCTTCTCTTGGACAAATTTGACTGAGCCGGCCACGTCAGCCAACTTTTGTGTCTTTATCTCTCTGTGGCGTTGGAGGGACAGCGCCAACAGAACGTACCGATTTATCAGCCTAATTGTGGACCACGGCACAGTCCAGTACGACTTGGGAGCCGTGGTCTCTCTCCACCGCCGCTTCATCTTTAGGGCAGTAGTGCTTTCCAGGTAGCTGCTAGGTGAGAGTGGCAATGTTCCACTCTTGACAAGTGGATTTGTACTTCTATCCTTGGTAAGCATTCTTCAGTGTTGTCTGGTAATTAGCTGTCCCCTGCTGTTCAGATCAGGTCTCAGCAGAATAACGTAGCATTTGGGGAAAAAGAGGCAACACAGCAATCCTGCACTTGAAGCTAAGATGGAGAAGATCTCCACAGCCACCATGGATTTCCCCTTGGTACTCAGGTAAGTTGGAACAAAAGAGAGCCAAACACTGCAGAAGACCAGCATGCTGAAAGTGATGAACTTGGCTTCATTGAAATTGCCAGGCAGCTTCCTGGACAGGAAGGCCACCATAAAACTGATGGTTGCAAGAAGGCCCATGTAGCCCAAGGCACAGTAAAACATAGTCACAGAGCCCTCGTTACATTCCAGTATGAGTTCTTCAGCCATGGAGAACATGTCAACATCTGGGAAAGGCGGTGAAGTTCCCAGCCACAAACTGCAAATGCCTGCTTGGATGAGGGAGCAGGAAAGAACAAAGACACCAGCCTCCTCCTTTCCCAACCATTTCCTCATCCTGGATCCTGGCTGAGTAGTCATGAAAGCCAGAACAACCAAGAGGGTTTTTGCCAGCACAGAAGAAACAGCCACTGAGAAGATGATGGCGAAGGCAGCTTGTTGGAGGATACAGGTGACATCCTGAGGCTCACCAATGAAGAGCAAAGTACAGAGGAAGCAGAGCAGAAGGGAGCTGAGCAGAGTGTAGGTGAGTGTCTGGTTGTTGGCTTTGACTATGGGAGTCCTGTGGTTCCTAATGAAGATACCCAGCACCAGAGCTGTGATGAAAGCAAAACCATGAGCAAGAAGGGCTAAAGTGAGCCCCAAAGCTTCTTCATAGGACAAGAAGGTTGTGGTCTTCGGAAGACAGAAATCCTGATTCTTGCTTGGATACTCTTTATCTGAACATGAATTGCAATCATTCATGTCTGGAAGGGAAGGGAAGGGAAGGGAAGGGAAGGGAAGGGAAGGGAAGGGAAGGGAAGGGAAGGGAAGGGAGCAGGTGGTGGTGAGTTTACAAAGAGAAGGAAGGCAAGGCAAAACCAAGAAGTCAGTGTGGTAAACTCTGACTGACTGATTACAGAAATGGAGCATTTGTCTGGATTGATTGTATTTGGACTATCCTTGGTGTTTAAACATTACTGAACAGAGCAGTCTTTGGATGATGACAATTTATTCCCATGGAGAAGGATTTCTCCAAAACCATAGAATTCAATGTGTCTGCTTTAAATGTGACTGCTTGGGAGGCCTCTATGGCAAGCCAGAGTGAAAAAGTGGGACCAGTGCTGCCTTATAATTGCTGTGTACTTACACCCCCTGCAGCTCAGTGCTCTTCTCTCAACACTGACCAGCTGACCTTTGGGGCAGTGCTGTGCCCCCACTAGCTGCTGTAGTAGAGTGGAAGCTGTCCACTCTTGTCAAGTGACTTTGTGATTTGATCCTTGGTAAAACGCATGCTATGTCTTCTGGTTCAGACAAGAAAGCCAATGATAATGATCCACAGAACCACAGAACAGGCCATGTGTAGTGGTTAAGAGCGTGGGACTGGGACTCAGACAATCTGGGTTCTAGTCCCGTCTCACTCATGGAGCCAACTGGATGACTTTGGGCCAGTCACAGACTCTCAGTCCAACCTACCTCACAGGGTTGTTGTGGGGATAAGATGGAGGAGGAGATTGAAGTAAGCTGCCTTGAGCCTTTGTAGGAAAAAGGCAGGATATAAATCCAAAAATAAATAAATAAATAAATTGTTGCTTTTTGTGGTTTTTAATAAACTATGAACTCTATGACTGGGACAACACAACTGAACAATCAGTGGAAAAAGCAACCATTTTTGTTGTTTCCTGCATATCCACCAGTCAGTACCTTACCATTTATCTATTACATTTTTATGCTGCTCAGTGCTAAAGGGTTCTGTGTGGATCAGAACAACTATAACCATAAAATACTCTGTAAAAATCTAACATTTGAAAATACAGTGTAAAATAAAAACAATTTCCAAAGCAAAAACTAGGAGTAACCAAAGGCTTAACATATAGCCAAACAGTTAAAACCACAGAGACTAAACAGCTAAAATATCCAGGAACACAATGTTTGAACCTGGTGCTGGTAAATGCTCATCGTGTGCACCAGGCAAGCATGTTTGGGAGGTTCATTCCACAAATGTGGTTCCACAGGGACATCTCTCTTCTTAGGAGCTACCACCTTACTTCCTTTAGTAAGGACTCCCAAAGAAGAAATTCTTTTGATGAGTTTGAAGTTTGGACAAAGGTATGTAAAAGAAGATACTCTTTTTGGTAACCTCAACTATTGGTAGCCTCAACCATTTAAGGCTTTGAATGTTAAACTGTGCAGATATCAGTGCAGTCATATTAATGACATGTAGACCCACACCTTCAGATCCCCTTCCCCAGCAATTTTAAGTAGATATTGCACAGGATGGAGGATAGCAAAGACTCCAGCAGAACTTCGTTACATGTCTGCCAAGTCATCGTACAAGAATCTGTGATTAGCCATCCCAGCACTGCAGTCTGAACTACTGCAGTTTTGTGTCTCCAAAAACCAACGCAGACAGATGATCCTGAAGGATACTGTTGTTCATGCTATAGAGAACTGATGAGTGATGCAAGGAAAGGGACTCATTTCCCTTTCTCCAACTCCCTCCCTTGCAAAACCTTCAGACTCATTTGAACTAGTGAAAAACAATCACCCCAATGTACAAACGTGCACTTTGAATACCTATCCAAGGAATGCATATTTCCTACCTTCCTGGCTTGAAATCTTCCCAGCTGGACATGGGATGCAATCATAGCAGCAATATGGCTCCCCCTCTTTCACTTTCTTGCTAGAGCCTGGTCGGCAACTCTCAGTGCATACAGAAAGTGGTTTTGTCTAATATGTGAATTAAAAAGCAGGATAAATATATTGGGAGAAACCATCTGTACAAACAGAAGGTTCTCATGTCAATAGATGAGTTACAAACTAATCCTGCATTTCAGGAATGTGCAAACCTTAATTTCCTTCATCTCTAATTTTCTTTATTGAAGAGATCAGTTACATATTTACTAATTAGCAACACTAATTTAAAATAATGAAAGAAGATATAAAGTGTTCAAGCATGCAACTTAGTTGAATGACAGTTTTAAAATGGAACAGTGGATGTATCATCAGCAATGGAATGGGCAGAAATTAAATGCTATTTTTAAAAACCCTTTAAATGGACCATTCCAGTTTTGAGCTGTCTGGTTTTTTGCTGTCTGTTCAGTAAAGAACTGTGTGTGCTAAACATTTATTAGCACTTCACTCAGAAAGCTGTATACTAGAACCTTCTGAGTCCTGCTGTGAGAGAGTTTGGCTGGTGAAGATCTGAAGTCTATGGCTGGTGTCATAATCAGGCTCTGGCTATTCTATGACTTACTAAATATTCCAAGCACTTCTCAGAATAGGCATTAAATGGATATTTACAGGAATCCTGGTTGAATTAGCATGGATGTATTTTACTGAATATTACAAATGTTTGCTGTGATATTCCATATATTAAAAACTGACATGAATTAACAGTATATAAATTTCTTTCAGTGTTTTACAACTAATAGTAATGCACACCAAGAGATTCCTGCTCATGGGAAAACTCACTCTCTTATGTCTTCACCCAGTATACTTATCTCAGTGATATTCATTTTTGAAGTATGCAATTTTTTAAAATGAAAGCTAGGAGGACTGAAGATCAGAGCTCATTCCAAGGAGCTGGCCAGTGGCCCCTACCTGATTAAACCAGTGGTGCCATGTGATGGCCTCCACATCAATGGCAAGTGTTGGGCCTGTAGAAGCCTGAAGATTGATCATTCCAACTTTCACACGGAGAAAGGATTCATTGGCAAAAAACTTCCAGTTGATAACATCAAATCCAGCTACCACCTCCCCTTTCTCATTGAAGGAAACCTTGTTGTGAGCGCTGTTATTAAATGAGACAACTCTGAGAAACTGATGGAGCTAGATTGAAAATAGGAACAAGATGTTTTCAAATATAGCAGTTTAGCATACAAGGCTTACTTCTAACATCAGCTTTAGAAGAATGTCATGAAAGATTACCATGTGTGGGAAATAAGGCTGAAGAAATGTTACTCATGTATTGAAAGGGAATTATCTTAATCCTTTTCTTTTTTGCCTCTTGTAAAGAACTCATGACAGTTTAAAATAATGTTATCCATTCCAACAGTCTCTGTGCAGGAACTGTCTAAGGTCTCTTAGGCTGAAAGAATGTGAATGACCCCAATTCACACAGTGAACTTAGTGGCTAGATGGGGGTTACAATTTGGACCAGCACAGTTCAACACTCAAAATAGAAAAGCTGGGTAGGTGACAGAAATGTGAAGTTCTTGCAACAAAAAAAAAAAGGGGGGTGGGCTACTTGGAGAACCTGAGTACTTGGAGAACATTACCTGCTGCTGCTTATAATTTCTGAACTTCTGTTCCTTCCTCTTCAGCACTGCCCTGTGTTTGACTTCAGATGAGGACATGGCATGCATAGAATGAGCCACAACATAAACTGCATTGTAGATGCTGTAGCTGTGGCCGGTCATGCTCATCTCAAAGAAAAATCCAGGAAGGCTCTCAAGCCTTTCCTTCCCATTGCAGAACTCCTCTTCCTCTTCCTCTGCTACTGTATTTGGGAAAACGCAGCCAAAAGCTTGTTGCCAAAAGATTCTGAGAAAATCATCTCCTTTTGTGCTTGCTGGATTTCTGCTTTCTTCAAATGATTTGAACCCTGGTAGGTCACTGGAGTGAATCCTCAATGTCAGAGCACCATGGAACATTTCTGTCTCCCAATTCCTTTGATAGACAAATGCATTGATCTCCATGTGGGCTGAGATTATCCATACTTTGCCTTTCAGTTTGCTTCTCCTGTTCACTTCTGATATATATGATAGCCATCTAAATAATGCAAAGGAATATGATTCTCCATGGGTCACCACTACATTGGCTTTGCTGTCCACTAGTTTATCATATATTTTTGCCCCCTTTTCTAAAATGTCATTAATTTTAGTGATGTAGGTGTGTGGGGGGATTTTTTCTATGAATGCAAAACAGACCCTTCTTTTGGAAAACATTGGAAAGACAGTGTGCAAGAATCTTTCTCCATTGTCATTATCTATAGAAACAAGTCCAATCCACATCCAGTTGAAATGCAGGAGCAAAGAGAGAATCCCCTCATACTGCCAGGTTTCATGAGGAACCATCTGATAGAAGGGAAGTCCTGGGGTCTTGTCATTCATGACTGGAGCCACACCATAGATGAGCTAAGGAGAGGCTGAAGAAATGTTAGCAAGATGGCATTAATGATTCGAACATGTTCAGTCTGTTCCACATGCATGCTGTTGGCAATTCTGAGAAAAGCACTGCATGACTTGTGAATTTTATGCTTTCCAAGCTAATTCCCAGTTTGTGACAATTGAGAGTCCTCAACATGTATTTGAGGACAATTCTCATGGTTCCGAGCAATCATGGCTTCAAGAGGGTTGGACTGCAACACATCTACATGCTGTCTTGTTCAGAAAACTTCTCAGTGAACCTTCAACACCTATAGAAGTGTTGAAATAATCATGGCTTTGCAAGTGAAGTTTGTATTCTATCTTTCCAGGGCATCAGACATACCATTCATAATAATAATAATGTACTGAAACACCATGAAAAGGGAGAAATATCTTTAAAGTCCAAATTTTAACAACCCATCAGATCAATTGAATCAACCCACAAAATGAGGTTGAATCAACCCACAACCCAGATTCTGTGCTTGACAGAATTACATGGGCAGGTACTGCTGAGGTTCTCTGTTCAGGTCTACATGGACTATTGTCACTCTCCCCCAGCAGCAAGCTGGAGAGGATCAGTGCCCTCAAGATCAGCTGGTCTGCACTGAGAAGAGAGAACTGAGTTGTGGGGAGTGATCAGCTTAGGGTAGTGATAGTGGGAGGCAGCACTGGACCTTTTCTTTGGTATAATCTTACTGAGCTCTACCCCAGCATTAATTGGTGAATTTCACTAGATTGCAAAAAATCACAATGTTTTACTTTTATCTTTTTTTTTCTTTAAGGGGTGTTTTGAGAGCAGTGTGTAACACACAATGGAAAAGGAATATTTAAAAGTCACAGAAATTAGTATATTAATGATGGTAGGAATATTAATAATGGCAAATAGTAATGATCAAAAAGGCAAGTGAATATTTCCAGTCGTTTACATTCTAATGTCATTCTAAAAGATATATGTACTCTTTCTTGCAGATGATAGCTCTACATGTTTTGAGAAGGAAATCCAGCATGAGGAGAGAATCGCGTAATCTCACATTATGTAAATTGAGTAAAAAGAAATAGAATACTTCATCCAATTGATTTCACTGGAAACATTTCTCAGACACAATCTGGGAACAACAAAGGAAGTGTGGGAGTGTATTTATATTCCCATCTCTCACTTACAGAACAGAACAGTTTTCCTACCTGTGGAATCTTGTATATATCCAAGATATTTGCCATATTGAGAGAGACTTCGGAGTCCAGTGCCCCAATGACTGCTATTAGATTTTTATGGATGCTGCATGAATAGTTGGGAGCCAACCTCTCCTGAACTGACAGAAGTTGCAGGGTGGCCTGACAGGTTCTCCTTGCACTGTCATAGCTGTCATAGACACGGAAGCCCAAAGTGCAATTGGGCAGTATGTGAGGGCTCTCGTTGATCTCCTTTACTGCAAATGCCAAGGCCAGGAGATGCTGGTAATTCTTTGGGATCATGCTGCAAGGAGAGGCAACAACTGAGGCACAGTGCGGAAGTCAGCATCTACGAAGCACAACTATACATGCACGGCCAGAAAGAAAGTATCTTGAGTTTGTGGAATAGGCTGAAAAAGAGCAAGTCATGGATTGAGAGTCAACACTGACATAGCAAAGCTATGTGGATATACACTTTAGTAAGCAAACTCCTTTGAGTTTGACAGGGCTTTGTTCCTGGGAGCAGGTGGTAAGACTGATTACAAAAATGTCTATGTCAGAGAGAATGGGCTGCAGAGAATACTGGAGAAACTGTGTGGAAAATAGGTAGGCATGAGGGAACTGTCTTTGAGAAAATAGCATTACAAAATTAATGAATCGTCTTTGACTCTCTGTGTGTGGTTGTGTCCATGCCTGATTCTGTGGTAATTGGATGGAATGAACTTGTTACTGAGTAGAGGTAAAACTGACATGGATGGGGCATAGAGTCATTTATGGATTGATTCCTCCTGGGCTATGTATGTACGACTGTACTTTCAGCCACAGTTTTTAGGCAAGAGCTCAGGGATTGATCATGGCTGTGACAGATGAAGAAGAATTGAAAAGAAACAGCAGAAACTCCTTACATGAGTTCCTTGAGTGAGTCTGGTGGGGGTTCTTCAATGAAGGTTATTGATCTGGATCTGAAGAAACCATGAAAATTGATGCTGCCGATAAGGATGTCTCCTGACTGATAGGCATGCAGTGGCAATTGGGGCTCCTGCACACTACATTTGAGAATCTGTGTCTGGCACCTTTTTTGGGAAAAGAGTGCCAGAAGCAAGGCCTCCAAGAGCACCATTCTCAACACAATGCCAGTTCTTTTCTGAACATCCAGACTTCCTTGTTTTCTTTGGCAATACTTGGGTCATTGAAGCATTTTGAGATGGAATTCTCTTCTCTAACAGTAGTTTGATCTGTTGACACTTTTGTTAGCTGATATAGATGTATCTTACATGGAAGCACAGGCTTGTTCCTAGTCCTTGTTCCTAGTCCCTTTCTCATCTCTACCTTGTTGTAAGCATATTTATAACAACCTTCTTGTTTTTCTGTTTCATTTGGCCTGTGGCCATTTGAACCTCCTGAGAGGTTTTATGCAGCAACAGAATTAATTGTTATCCTTTTGATAGTTAAAATGCAGGTTAACTACCAGGTCAAAGTTGCAGTTTCTCTATTGATTTGCTTTGGGGACAAATATGCTTGTTGCATCCAAAAACTTAATGCTTGGAAGGTCTCAATGAAAGAGGAGAACTATCCTCCATTTGTGATATTTTCTGTGTTTTGGATAATATGTAAATTAATCTTTATACCCTTATGAATTATTACTGATATAGCTATCTATTTATCTATCATCTTAAAATTATTTTTCTTATTCATGGTTTTACATTACTACTGCTGGCAAGTGTGTGCCTTTAAAGTGTTGTCTGCATAAGAAAGGATAGAGGGGCATGGCTTTTAGTCAGAATTGTGCTGATGCAGGCATAAGTCATATGGTATTTTGTTGAACGTTGTTAGAATTGATGGACTTGTTGCCAGCACATATACTTTGTGGCTGAAAATGTTGTGGAGACTTCATCAAAAAATGGAGTTCATTCTGTTGTCTTGGAGAGTGTATTGCGAGAGTATAATGTGAACTCTTCACTGTGTTCACCAACAGGAAGAAACTCATGAGCAGAGACACTGCTAAGGACACATGCAGAAAGCTCTGGAAAATAAATGTATTGGTACTGTGTACAATGAGCCTTTCCTTTTGCATAGCACCCTTGAACATCCACTCTAGAAACCAACGGAAAAATTCACACAACAGGACTGAAAGCAGTCTCTTGGAGCTCACAAAATCCACTGCACTCATGAATGGAGTTATGCTTACAAAACAAGGCTTTCCCTCTGCAAAGAAATTGGAGCTGGAGAAGCCCCTCTTGGTCTACGCTATTTATTGGCACCCTCAGCAGTCTGAAATACTTAAAGAAAGACACAATAGGAGGTATCTTCAGTTTAAAAAATCCTTTACTGCTTTGAGCAATGTTACTAGTGATTTCCACAGAACTATTCAAAATCACCAGAAGGTTTCTGTGTTTTATACATTTTCATAGTGCTGTGTCAGAATTTTGAGCATCTGCACATGGAGAGTGTGTGCTGTAAATATTTCCTGCATCTGTCCGCTGCTTGAACCCTAAGATCTCTCATTCTTTGGTACCCAGTAAAATATCTTGTTCAACCCTAATGTACTCAAACCTGTTTAAGAACGGAAGCTGTGCCCCTTCTGGCACAATACTGATCCACTGGCCTTTTTCTTCCTTTTTCTGTATTCAAATAAACAAGTCTGCTTCCTACATCCATGTTCCAGTCTATTCACAAAAAATTGGCTGTCTGTTTGCCTCTCTCTCACACACATACACACACACACACATGTTAGGAATGGGCAGACATTTACTGGGACAGTATTTTAATGTTAACCTACCTAATTTTGCAGCTTTGAACCACCAGACAAGCCAAAATTAGGTTTCCATCTATTTATTATTTATCGTTTCTCTCTTCCACCAGGCAGCTGAAGCTCTCTGGCTGGCTCACAACATTGCAAACCAAATTCATCTTTTATGAATTCCATAACCGAGTTCTCCAATCTAAAGCATTCTTGCCATAGAGGGCCAATGACATGACTGGCCTCTGCATAAGCTCACCCCATTACTGGTTTATTATGGATTCATTTCCTTTTCTTTCATTTCTCTGGTGAATATATGTGATTTATAGAACAAACGCATTCAACAGTAGTGAGAGTTCTCAGAATTGTGAATTATGCCAAATGGATCATTCTCTTTTCTGCCCATGAATGCACACACAGGACAAGCTTTGAAGAGCTCTCATCTCCACAACAACTATGTAGTCCCCCTTGCTGCTGAGGGACAAAAGAGAGCCAAACACTCCAAAAAACCAGCATGCTGAAAGTGATGAACTTTGCTTCATTAAAACTACCAGGCAGCTTCCTAGACAGGAAGACCTTAGTGAAAGTGATGCTTGCAAGAAGGCCCACATAGCCTAAGGCACAATAAAATATGATCACCAAGCCCTCATTGCATTCCAGTACTATTTCTTCAGCCATGGAGAACATGTCAACATCTGGGAATGGGGGTGAAATTCCCAGCCACACACTGCAGATGCCTGCTTGGATGAAGGAGCAGGAAAAAACAAGGACACTGACTTTCTTCTTTTCTAACCACACCTCCTCCTGGATCCTGGCTGATTAGCCATGAAAGCCAGAACCACCAAGAAGGTTTTTGCCAGTACAGAGGAAACAGCCACTGAGAAGATGATAGCAAAGACAGTTTGTCAGAGGAGGCAGGTGACCTCCTGAGGCTCACCAATGAAGAGCAAAGTGCAAAGGAAGCAGAGCAGAAAGGAGCAGGGCAGAGTGTAGGTGAGCTTTTGGTAATTGGCTTTAACTATGGGAGTCCTGTGGTTCTTCACGAACACTGCCAGCACCAGAGCTGTGATGAAAGAAAAGGCAAGAGCAAGGAGGGCTAAAGTAAGACCCAAATATTCTTCATAGTACAAGAAGTTGTTGGTCTTTGCAAAACAGACATCCCAATTCTTGCTTGTACAAAATCTGAGCATTTTGTACAATCATTCCTGTCTGTAAAGAGAAGTGAGGGGAGGGGGAATGTGGTGCTAAGAGCTAAAACAAATTCTTTTAAGGATAAGGTCTGGCTATCTACCTGAGACCTGCAGTGCAACACATCTCCATGGTGGCATGTTGCAAAGCTTATTCTTCTCAGTTACCTTTCTTCGAGAAATGTCAAAACAGTTATGTATGTATATGTTAAACTAGTATCTTGGTATTTCAGGACATCAGACACAATGCAAATAATAATGAAAATGCACTAAGATACCATGAAAAGTGGCAATGTTATATCTAAGCTATAAGAAACCCATCAAATCAATTGAAGCAACCCACAAGGTGGGTTGGTTTCTGACTCCCTGCTTGACAAGAATACATCATCAGGGAATGTTCAGATGTTTCTCAATTCAGTTCCTCTCTGCAGAATTTGGCAGGTTTGACGTTTGGAGAAACTTGCATCTGAATGAGAATTTGATCTTCTATAACTGTGTCAGGTTGTACAATTTGCATAACCTTAAAAGATAACACTGTCATGGATTTTTTTCTTTATTCCTGTGGTTTGATTATACTGTGTAGCACAAAATGAAAAAGTCACAAAAACATTTACCATGGTAATAACTATAGCAATAATGATACTAACTACTAGTAATGATCCAAAAATACAAGAAGTTAGAACATATTTTCAAATATCTTAGGTTTAAATGGGAGTTCAAATCAAACTGTGTGTTGATTCTTGCAGAAGTTAACTACATGTAGTTTGGAAAGGAACACCAGCATGATTCCACCACAGCAGGATCTCTACCTGTGGAATCTTGGCGATATCTAAGATATTTGCCATATGGAGAGAGACCTGGGAGTTCAATGCCCCAGTGACAGCTATTAGTTTATTGTGGATGTTGCATGCATAGTTTGGGAACAATCTCTCCTGTACTGAGAGAAATTACAGGGTTGCCTGGCAGGTTCTCCTTGCATTGTTGGAACATCACCGGAACCTTGCTTTTCCCTAGTCCCTTCTCCATCTCTATCTGGTAGTAGGATTCTTTATGTCAGTCTTCACTATTTTGTGTTTCATGTGGTCTGGGGCTACTAGAACTCAAGTGGTTTTTTGGAGTGGCTGGATTAATTGCTGCCCTTTAGATAATTAAGATGCCAGTTCATTACCATTTCAAAGTTGAAATTTCCCTGATGAATTGCTGGGAGAAAGAATATGCAAACTGCATCTAAGCATGGACCTCTTAATGCTTGGAATGCCTCAATGAAAGAGCAGAACTCTCTTCCATTTGGAGCATTTTGTGTGACTGCAGGATATTATGGAAATTAATCTAGTTTGACATGTGCACTCAAAGGTATCACTCAGTTCAAGAATAATGGTTAAACACTGGGAGGTGAAAAGTTTAGTTCCAATATAGAGGTCAGGAACTTCATCTTAGAAAGCAGGAGATTTTATGCAGCCTTTCTGTAGCAAGCAGTAACTGTGCACACATGGTTTCCCATTGAGAATCTTTCAATGATTCCTTTCTTTTGCAAGAAGTTATTCTGCATGCACATTTTCTGATTTAGGATCCTCCAATGATTACTTGGAACCATTTTGGTTTCACCATGCAGGATGTAGGATAGATAAGTAAGCCTTTGATCTTCTTTAAACTACATTTTAACAAAGGATCCTGTGTGGGCTCCTGTATTTTAATCCACTCTTCCTATCCTCTTCCACTCTTTTTCTCCTTATACTTTACATAATAGGTTGTAATACTTCTTCAGTGAAGTGCAGTTTCTTGCAGTTCAACTCACTGCTCAGTGCCTCAGACCAAAGATCTGGCTCCCTCACTGGGGTCCAGGATGGAGAAAATACAGTAGAGCCCATGCCCATCCCCCTTGTTCCAATTGTCCCCAAAGGTTCCATGAGGCTCAAGGCCAACCTTCATTGTGTTGCAGTGGATGATCAAGTGGTGATTCTCAGCTGCTGAGCTAGTTTGCACTAGCTGCCTTGCAGCATGGTTGGGTGGATTTGCCTTCCTTCATTTACAACCTCAACCTTCATTTACAAACTCAGCTGGCACACCCCTGGACATGCATCCAGACTGTACAGGGCATTCTCCCTGGACAAGCATCCTAAATGGAAAATTATGAGGTATTTATTTTCCATGCCTCTGTTTCCCTCCTGAAATAAATGATTAATTCCCAGTGAG